GAATAGTGCAGGAAGAACTACCATTCCAGATCTCAAGATATATTACAGAGCCATCACAACAAAAGGAATGTGGTACTGGTACAAAAGAAGACATGTCAACCAATGGAAAAATACCAAAGACTGAAATATAATACATGATTTCTGACACAACAATTATGTCATGTATGGGTTTCATCTTGTGGAGCAGGATTTACTCCAATTTAAACCATGGTTGGTAACTAAAATGGTGCTTGTGCCTCTATTGCACCCATGGGTTGTCTTTCAAGAATAATCTTTACTGGAGATCATACAATTCTGTAAAGATGATGACTACTTTTGTTCTTCAGTAGTGTGCATATCACAATCCATTTCTGTGAAAGCTAGTTAGAGAAATCAGTTTTGTGTCAGTACTAGGTTGATATCTTATTGCTCAGGGACCCAAGGTGTCTTCAGCAATAGGATCTTAACATCTAGTTCTTGGGAGTAAGGAGTAAGAAAATGCATGGGCAATAACCTATAATGTTTAGGATTCTATCAGAACTCACTGGAAGCTTGTACAGGAATAGACAAGTTTCCATATTTCTGGAATGGTGTTTAGTTTTATTTATTTTTCTCATAATTCCCTGACCTATCTTGATCTCCCATTCCCCACCAATTTAACTCTTCCCATTCTTTTATTTCCCTTCAATCCTTAATGTTAAAGTATTATAACTCCCTACCATAAAGGCACCACTCATCCAGAACTCAACTGCCTATTACTAATTTTCTGACCTCTATGAGTGAAGAATGATGTTAATATATCAGAATAGACATGTGTAACTACATTTAGGGTATGCAAAATGTGTCATTAAAGTGGTAATAAATATAAAACAGCCCCATTTCCCACATCAAATACATTATACTTGTAAACAAGAAGAGGGGAAGAAATTAGTCAAAAGTACAAGAAATAAAGACTATCAATGGAATGTTAATATAGCAACCCATCCTCAGTGCTGGAGAAGGTCACAACAAATGTAGGTAAGTCTAGGTTCCCTAATTGTAGATCCTGTGGAATATCTTCACCTAGTACATCCTAATTATTATGCTCATGACTTTCACTTGTCCAGTTAGGATTCATCACTGAGATTTTTTTTTAGTTTTCAGGACAATTTCTTTTGGAATCAGTTCAGGGTTGCAGTGGTGACCTATTCTCTTAATCCTGCAAACCTTTGGAAACCCAATCTCCTCATTTGGCTTAGCTTATCCTTAAGATTTTAAGGATTCATGTGGACTATTGAAAAGAATATTTGCTGAGAGAATGAATTTTTCTATCTCACCTCCTATTGCCCCTTACCATCTGTGGACAACAGAAGAACTGGCCCCAGGACCAAGAGAGCAGGAAAGCTGGCTCTCTTCCTCACCGCTACAGCCCTAGGTAAAATGAAACCTGCACTCTGCTGGGGAAGCACAGTAGAAATTGTCCTGCAGGCAGTGGTGAAGGGGAGCTAGCCCAGAGATCAAGAGCGTAAAAGAGCTGGATCAACCAATCACCTGCCATGATAGCATAGGTGTGGGAAGGATGCCCTGTGGTCATGAACGTGGAAGAGCTGGCCCTTACTCCAGGTGGAACAATCTAGAGAATAGGCCCTATATCTTGTTTGGGCAGTACAATAGATCTTTGATCCAGCTCAATTTGAGGGTGTTAAAGTGAGAGAACCAGCCCAGTCTTTCAACTGGCTACAGCATTGGCTGTGGTAGCCAGGGCCAGGGCAGCACTGGAGGGTTACCCCCCTTGGTGGTGCTGGTACTGGAGAGTTGATTGATGAACTAAGCTATCATCTAGGCCCAGATCTAACGCTTTGAGTTGGCCCACTCATCATCTACTCCATCTATAAACTCCTAAAGTGTGAGAAAGGCCTGTATTGCAGATCCAAAAATGCTTGATCATGATCTCCATAGAATATTGAAGAACAGGCCCAGTGAGAATCCAGTATTTATAGAGCAGAAGGCAGAGGCCTTTAACCAGGCGAGTGACTCATAACAATGACCATTGCAATGAACCTTGCAATGAAGCAAGTAAAGCTGTATGGACAAAAGGACACACTGTGGGACACACTCTGGAACACTATGGCTTCCACGGTAAGATGCTGTTTCTGTTTTGTTTATTTTTGTTTTAAGATTGTATTTTTGACCTGAGGTTGCAAGGGTAGATAAAAAAGAAGATGGAGATGAGTCAGATTGGGAAGAATGCTTTGTAATTCACCAAGAATCAATAAAAGGATTTTTTAAATAATCTTTTCAAAATATCCTAATACAAGATATTATGAGACCAGGCTCAACTGTGGAAACTAAAGTCAATTTTGTCATTCATTTTTGAATGAACCAGAGCATTGAGGTCAAAGCAAGACAGATCTACATTGGCCTTCTCAAGTCCCCAAACTCTTAAGAAAATAGAAAATTCCTGAGAGTTAGGACTAATCACATATCTCCATTTCTGCAGATGTAGATTAGCTTCTGTGTCAGGTCTCCAGGGAATCTCAAATACAGGGGAAAAAATAAGTTACTAATCAAGGATATCTCCTTGGGTTTGCCATATAAACAAACTCTCACATGTTTATATGGAAAGAAAGGAGAGATTACCCAATTCTGGGGCCCTTCTATTAAACCTGGAGGATAGCTAAGCAAGAAATTATATCATGAAACAGAAGGCTGACCTGCATTCCTAGGAGTAGTTGCTGGGCAGCTTTGTGATTCTATCGAATAACAATGGAGCACCAACTAATTACCATCCCCAGCTATCCTGTGAATCATACTACTCTTCAAATGTCAATGCCTACTGAGTCAGAGAAGTTCACATGAGTAAGCCACCCAGTTTTGGCACCACTGTCTTCATTATGTCTGACACCATTATTACTCCCTGGCATTCTTATTCCACAACAGTCTTTACTGTTACTTGTCTGAATTTTTGGCCTTGTCAAAATTTTTGTGAGGTCTTCATAGCCTGTTAACAATTAATCCATATGAGATCCAGACTTTCAGTAAGATTCAATACCCACAAAATTCCTATCTTTCAAAGAAAAAGTACAAATTTATTATTTAATTCCCAATAATCTGAGAGGAACTTTCACACTTTCAATAGTTATGTAAGAAATAAGGGGAAAAATGAGATAAGGCCACCATGAACCTTCAAGAGCTAAACTCAACTAAGCCACCACATTCTCTCTCTAGGTTACTCCATGAAAATCCTGAAGGTGTTATAGCCAGTAAGTCAAAACATCTCAAGCACAATTGGCTGGATATGAAAAGTCCATGGTAGATTGGTCTGATGTCCCTCAAATCTCAATTTTCTGTATCCATCGATTAATCATGAGACTCTCAAATGACCATATTAGCTACTTGGAGTATCTTAATGGCTACCATCCCTGTCAAATAAGCTTCACCTTATAGTCTCCCACATATGCGAGCCACTGTGGATGACATATTCTCAAGTGCACCATGAGGGGCAATCCACACCTATGTAACTCTTCATGGAATATCTCAAGAGTCTGAATTTGTTACTCTTATCCTAACTGAAACCAAGTCATGACACTATTAAGGGAGAAATTATACTGGTTGAAAATTGAGAACTCAAGCTTACTAAAGCATGGTCTACATTTCTTTATGATGCCTGCTTCTCTAGTGCAGTACAAGAAGAATAGTGAGGAGACTAAAATTTAGAAAGAGTGATGTCATGATCATTACTAAATATCTGATTAGAAGAGTTACCAAACAGTTAGATATAGATACTGTGGTTACTTACATGGAGTCCTGCAATAAGATGGCAGAGGATACTTCACTTCATGTGTGGATAAATTGGTATATTATACAGCAAGGAATAGACAGAAGCAACATAGAAGATTATTAAAGAATGAAAGGTAAAGAAGATTCTGGCTAAGCAAATCTACTCATCAATCTAGATGTGCAGAATACCATTTCCCTGACTTATCCCTCCATTATGGCCATGCAAGTAAGGTTATTGAGACCCAAAAGCCAGTCTCTGATGTCAAACATAGAGGAACTGAAATGAGATCTGACTATTCTAGTGATTCATTAAGAATTGGGGATGCATTCTAATGTCTTCATTAAATGATTGAGGCTTATATAGTACTAAATAGTATATAGCTAAGTGATGTATAAATTGTCATGTGGATTGCTATTTTTTCTGAAATACATACCTATGGCAAAGTCAAATGCATCATACAGGTAAGCTCGGTGCTTACGAAATGTAGACAATACTAAAAGAGGAGAGTGACTGCAACAGCCTGTGTTGAAATGGTTTGTCAGCACTCAGCACACTGACCACTGAATCTTCTGAGTATTTATTCCTGTAACAGCAGACATAGTTACCTTGGTTTCTATATCACAGTCACAGGGAAGCTAGTACAGGACTGAGGTGCTAGAAACAGAGGGTCACAACCCAAAATAATGCAGTGGGAACAGAGTACCACCACACTCCACAGAGTGGCAGTGGAATGAAACTGGGTGAATTCATGTCAACTAAAAAATACAATGTCAATATTTTCATATAGCCTTTCAAGAAGTATTGTTTGTATATGAACAGAACTCTCCACAGTAACCATAGCCAATGATAGAAAAGCATACATCACAGAGGAGTCACCCACTCTAACTCCTAGAACACAGCATCCCATTAAGTTTGGTAACCACGATGAATATTGTGTTTATTCACAAAAAAAAAAAATCACCTCCCGAAAAGACATGCTAGATCCAACATTTTATTTTAAATTTCAGTTCTTGAAGACATCATTTGGTACAAGGAAAAATTAATATCAAATTATTACAAAAATTCTTAATACAAACCAGTGCAAAGCATCAATTACACCAGCAGCCACGTCTTACTCGAGTAATGATATCAGAGAATTCACATCTTACCCTGACTTCCTAATTACTCAACTGTTTTCTGCACACAGCAGAGTCATCACTTTGAAGACTATGAGGTTGTTCTTGATGTGTTGCCTTTCCCTACCCTGTTATCTCCACACTGCTCACAAGATAGGGTACATGGCATAGGAAGCAATTCCACAGTAGTTGTTCTGACCTCTGGGAATCTTCATATAGCCTTTTTCACCCCATTGTTCACCATGGCTGAAAGAAATCAGGTTTTCCATTTATTAGAAATGATACAGTACAGTGGATTGTTGGAAGAAATCTGGGTTTAAACACTGAGCTAGAGACCAACTTAATAGATTGTGTCAGAAAATTCAGAGGATCATTGCTGGGATACCAAAAATTTCCTCACCAAGAGTAGTGAAAGTTTCAACAGGAAAGCTTAGGACATCTTTCCACTCACAGGTTGTTCAGACATAACAAATGTGAAACAGGAAATCACTGGAACAAATATGATGTTGGTCCCAAAGAAACCAGTGACAGAATCCAAACTCTGTGACAATATATTATATAATGATTCTTCTAGGCTCAGAAAATACTGGAGAGTAAAGCCAGATCAGACAAGTGTAAGGTCTGGAGCTTGAGTTCAAGTTCTTTTTAAAGCCAAAATGAGGCTAAAGAGATGGCTCAGTGCCTAGGAGCACTTGGAGCTCTTCCACAGGACAATAATTCCTACCCAGTACCCATATCAGAGAGCTCACAGTGACCCCAAACTAGAAATAGACTGTGATGACTTCTGATCTGCAAGATGACACATAGCATTCACTCATACAAATACCAAAACTTACAAATAAATGAAAGTAACTCATTTAAAGTCAGAATTTTTTGCAGCTAATCAGTATTGGCAGAAGTCAGAAACAAATAGAGTGAACTAGACAAGCACATTACCCAAAATAGAAAAATCTGGAATAAGTGATATTCACCAGATTAATACATAAAGCAGAGTACAACTTTGGAAGACAACATATGTCAACATAAGGTCTATAGACAAATGCATCCCTGTGTGGTATGCCCCCCCCCACACACACCACATACATTTGAGCAAAGAAAAGAAAATGTTTCTGTTTCAATTTAATTTTAACAATGCTTTCAGTGACTTGTATGTAAACTCCAACCATAAACAGACCATCCATTAGAAACCTAAAATAGGAATAATTTTTAACAATTAATACCTGTTTTTTACCAGCCAATATTTTCTGCCTTCTGACTCTTGGCCTTCATAACCAAACCCAACCAACAGCATAGAATGGTTGGGAGAATCACGTTTACAGTTTGGCTCATGATATATACCTGAAAAATAAGATCAACAGAATGAAAGACACCAGGAGCCTGAGAATGGTCATGATCAATATCAGTACATGAGGCATTTTCGAATTAAATTGAAATGACAGAAATTAAATTAGTAAATGACAGTAAAAGTTCAAATCATTGTTGACAAGAAACCTCAAGTTCTCAACAAAATATAAATATAAATGTATATATGTATAACTTTGTTGACAATCATTTCACTTTCACATCTTGTATTTTTTTATTAAAAACAGTTCTTTTTTGTAATAGTAGGTTTCTTTATTTAATGTATATGAGAACACTGTAGCTATCTTCAGACACAACAGAAGAGGGCGTCAGATCACATTACAGATGATTGTGAGCCTCCATGTAGTTGCTGGGAATTGATCTCAGGACCTCTGGAAGAGCAGTCCATCCTCTTAACATTGAGCTATCTCTCCAGCCAGGAAATCATAACTGAACATAAATAATTAATTCAAGGTGCTTTCTAGAATTCAGTTCTAGAAAGATAATACCTTCATATCTTGAGATATACCAAGTATATAAAAGTAAATAAAACTAAATGATAATGACAAATAATGAATACACAAGATATCATATGACAAAGAAACATCACACCTGATTTTTTCCCATGGGTAAGTGTAAAATTAGCAAAGCCTATTTTTGACATCAGATTTTACACAATATTAAGACATCAACATGGCATGTCCCAAAGGATCACAAGCATTCATTATCAATATCTAGAAGAACACACACTTACCTCCTGTGTATTTTTTAAAAGATTCATGTTGAGCATCAATTCCTACAGCAATAGGCCCATTCGTTACTAGAGCATTGATTAGAGCTTCTTCATTCCTTGGGACAACCAAAAACCGGATGACCTTAACAACAGAATATTCAGGACGATACCTGCAGTGTCCTTCCTTTAAAAGGTAAAAAGTTAAGAGACTTGGTTACCTCCACCTACCCTCTGGGTATCATGAGTCAAAAGCACAACACTGTATACTTTGTACTGTACTTTGACATCCTCACATCTGGGATGTATAAATTATCCTAGGAAGTGATATATTTCTGGCAGATTTTTAAGTGAATCTGTAGTATATATAAAATGGTGAGCCCATTCTCCATGTAAAACCATGGAATCAGAAAACTTTACAGTTTTTGGATACTGTAATGACAACATTGATGGTATTCAGAGAGATCCTACATTCAATGTGAGCTCTGAATACAATGTATTTTTCTGACATTTTCCCCTTGTCCAACCTTAATTGAAATGATAATACAGGAAGCTCACATAACCTTTGCTTCATATGGGTAGGTTGCCTCAGCCTCTAGACCTCCATTGTTCTTCACATATTGGAAGGCATTGTAGATTCTGCCTCCTTTACATCCCATAGTGCCAAACGTTCTGGAACAGTCCACTAGGTTCTGAACACTCAGTGGGAGCAATTTGCCTGTTTTTTTGAACAGTTGTCCTTCTATGGAACCAGCCACAGCAAAAGCCCAACAGGCACCACATGCTCCCTGAGGAGGGAAGAAAAGATAGTTATCTACCAAAAAAAGTACTCACTGAAACAATAATTCATGCAGTTGAGTTCTTTTTCAAAAAATTAGCTGGTAACATTAGATGAAGGCCTACTTAAGAAGGGTCAGTCTCCATAGGGATATGTCTCATGCTACAGTGGACAGTCCAACAAACACACACATTTGAACAAGCAGCTATGGTATATTAGACTACAGGTGTTATAAATGTCCTTTTTCATGGTTTTATTATTATATTTTTATTGGATATTTTATTTATTTACATTTCAGATATCATTCCCTTTCCCCATTTCCCCAAGAAACCTCCTATCCTATCCCTCCTCCTCCTTTTAGCTTTTATACAATTTTAATTACATGCAAATATTAAGGTCAGTTCTAGGTTGAGGAACTAGCAATACAATAAATGTCCTTAAATATATTTACAGGAGAAATACAGTGGAACCATAGGTGGAGATTTAACAGTAAGTAATGCATGGAAAGGATAGTGTATACATATGGACCCCACAAGTGCTAGGATATATATGCATTAGGGATTCCTCATTCCTTGGGACAAGAAAGAAGCATTACTAGCAACAAAATACTAAGAACAGTATCTTGGCTTCCAGGTTGTAGAAAAATGTTTAGTGAATAGCATTTCATTTAACAATCAAATAACATAGACTTTCAAAAACATGCTGTACCTTTAGTAGTTGGGTAACACAGCCATGTGATGTTGTCATACCTGGCTTCGCACAGGAGTCACATAGCCTTCCTTTCTCCAATCCAAAGCTTTGGGAATTTTGACATTGCGTTTCTGGATGTGTTTCCCATTACTCAGAGTCAGAGATGAACTATCTGTCATCATTCTTATTTCTTCACCAGTCTTCACAGGAAAGAACATCAAGACTCCATTTAAACAACAAAACAGCAAAGGCAGAAGTGTGAAACAATTTGAGTCACACTCACCATGTCACCAAATTCATGCATTTCTATGGTAAAACTCACCATGTCACAAAATTCATTCATTTCTACAGTGAAGTTGTTCAACCACAGGCCATTCTCTACTGTGTGTTGTTTGATCATTTTCACGTTTTCTTCCCACAATGCTCTCCTGTGTTTCTCTTCCTCCTGGAAATAAATGTAATAGAAGACATTTACTTCTGATTATGCCTCTGCCCTAGTTGATCAGGTAAACCCACTACTACAAATGTATAGTGACCACATAGAGCAATCTCAAGACAACACTCTAAGCTACTCTCAACACCCTGATTAAGAGAGACAATTGCTACCTTGTGTTCACCCCATATTACATTACTACCTCAGGTAGCTGTGGCATCTAAGGCTGCTATTATATCCATCAACACTCAACAGAAATGAGAATTCTCTACATCGTCTCTCTTTGTGAGTCCATGTGACATACTTGACTATATGTCTTCTCAAAGCTTCTCTTCCACTCCTCCCATTCAGCATCCAAATTATAATCAGGTGTTGGAACAGCCAAGGTCACTCCCAAGCATAGGATAGTTAGAAAGACTACAGGAATCATGTCCCAAGCACCTAGAGAGTAAAGGAAAATTAATCAGAGAATGAGCTAACACTTTTGAGAAAATTAGGTCATTGGTGCTGGATAAAATATTCCAACAACTCTCTCAAATATTTACTCAAGATTTTAGAAATGGCTAAATATGAGTTTAGACTTGAGATGTTATGCAGCTATTTTAAAATTAAGCAACATGAGGGCAAAATTCTAGAAATGTAAACTTACATGTTCTGTAAATTTATATGATCAGAATGTGGATATCAAATGTCAAATTCTATATAACTGAAGACTTGCAACAGTTAACTGAGGATTTTAAATTTTACAAAACATCTCTTGTGTATCATCTGATTCTATGTTCAAATTTTCCCCATAAGTTGAGATTACATTTTGTCATACACCTCCTTCATACAGAGTAGGATATGGGCTTATTTAAAATATTCTCTCTTGAGTGAAAACATTCTGAACAGTCCTGCTTTAAAAATATTGGGAAAATCAAAATTCCTAGTACTCTATGCAACCATTGAGATTTGCCTCAGATTCATTAACTCAATGAGAAAAAGCTCAAATGGAACAGCCACAGGAAACCATAGATACTGTGATGATGGAGTACTAAAGATATTCTGAAACTCCAGGATCAAGCCTTGATGGGTGTTTTAAGCAACACTCCCCATAAGAACTGACAAGTGACATGTCCCTTGCTACTCCTTCTGCCCATGTCAATCACAAAAAAGAACCATTTATCCAGGGGTGATTTACAATACAATGATCTCTGTAGGCTCAGGATAATATAAACATGATCCTGGTGTGCATAGTACTGGCTGTCACCCTCCTCCCTGGACAAAAATTTACACTGAATTGAAAACTATATAGACCTGAACCCAGAAGGTGTCTGGTTTCTCTCTGGCATCCCCACCCTCATCTGCCTCCATGCAGAAGTGTTTTGGAAGTTAGGTCGTTCTCATTCCTGGGCCTCTGCCTGATTCTCCAAGGAGTCTCTCAAAGCTGTCTTCCAGGGTCACTTCTCTTTATGCATTGACTAAGGCAAGGCCTCACCTGTGGTGATTACTGCTCCCTCGGTGCACTCCACAGCTCTTCAGATGTGGCCAAGCTGTCAAAATCTGACCAACCAACACCTCAGGATTTAAATCCCATGTCTCTGGTCATTCATCCCACCCAATCATTATTTCCTTCTTCTGATTGACTATGAGGTCACTGGATTGGGCCTCCAAGGTCTTACTGAGATCTGATATTATCTATCCTAGAGGGGTGGGTGTGGACTAAGTGGTCCCTGTGAAAGGGAACTTATAGCTGTTAACACAAGAAGTTAGGGAACCAACCTTCAAAAACTTGAACAGCATAATAGCTGGTCCTTTTATGTCAACAGTAGTACAAAGTGTATGTGAGAGTTTCCAGGTGAAGCTGTGTAATATTTTATGTTAGGAATTATTTTAAAATAAGAAGCTTGGTATACCATCACAGAGTTGGCTAGTCAGAATATTCTAGTCTCGTATTTCATGTTTAATTCAAAGATACATTGGGATCCTTTGAGAACGTGGACCTTCACATGCTTTGTTAAAGTGTCATGAGTAAAATAGATAGATCTCAGAAGAAGTTCAAAGTTGGATGGATGTCTTTATATAGGAAGTATTGTTCAAGTCCAAAGCTAAGGAGAAAAATGAATGTTCTCGTACTTGTAGTCTCATGAAACTTACTGATATTTTTCTGCTTGATGCTAAATTGAGCACCCATCATAAAGTAACAACAGACCTATCAATCATCTCATTCAGTAACATAGACATTACCTAAAAGTTCTGACATTTACAATTTTAGATAAAAATCTCAGTAGCTTCAGGGACACCATCATTGTAAAAAAAAAAAAAAATCACCAAGTAGATATCTGGGAAGACTCCATGTGCTTCCGGGAAATGATGAACTCATTAAAAAAATAAATCCCTAAACCCTGTCCTCAATCTCAGCATTGCTTTCTTGTTCATTGTTTCTTGGTTCATTGTTCAGGAATTTGCCTGGCACTATAGGTGGAGTGTTTTACCTCACAGTTTTCATTTTGAAGTAAATTTTTTCTATGCTAATATTGAATGGGCAACCAGTCCCGAGTAACTAACATCAAAATATTCTCTTTATCCAAGTTATATGATTTTTCTACTACACTGACACCCCATATTCTGTTTGTACATTTGTTGTAGCATTATGTTGTTTCTTTGGATCAGAGAAGATATGATACCTATTTACCCTAAATTCTACATTTAACAGATTTGCATAAAATCTAAGCTCAACCAATATATTTCTAGAAGTGTTCCTAGTTTTGGCATAATGAGTGTCACAATTCTGTTTTGGCAACAGTTTCTTTAGAATTTCTTTACCCAAAATAGCACCAGATGAGTAAGCACATTCATCAAATCATGACTATGTTCTTGTATAGACATAGGTATCATCTAAGATGGCCTCAAGTATGGTCAAGGAATAAAGTTGAAGGATTCAAAGCTCACCTGCCTTTTCTAAATTGCTCTAGCATGGCTGAACTTAATATTATTTCCTCACATTAGGAAGGTAGTTAGGATCACCTTTTTAAAGATCAATTTTATTCTGCATCCTTCACTATAGTGCACACCTTCATGAATAAATTTCGTCATGTAAGGCAACTCATCATTAATGCACAGTTTCATACAAGTGAGTTCATGATCAGTGACAACTTCATGCTCAAGCTCTTCCTAGGAAAGCTAATTCTTAAACTAACCCATGATCTACTAAATCAGAACTGCAGGAAATTACATTAAGATATTTAAGTTTTCTCAAGTTCCTTGGTTAGTACTGACATAATTAAAGTTTAAAGAGCCCTCTGAAGAGTGGTTGTAAGACTGATAGGAAGACCATTTGTAAAGATCTCAGAACATTAGGTAGCTCCTTGCCTGGAGACAGCCTGGCCTGAATGGTTTGAAATGGGACTCAGAGCTGGTTCTAGTTTTAAAGACTGGAGGTGTCAGAGGTAATTTTAAACACTGATGGTCTCTGGTCTTTTATCTCTCTAACTATACTAAATGCTTGCTGATAATTTCTAAAAATCTTTATTTATTCTATGGTTAAAAAAACACTCGCTTGAGCAATAATAAGCACCTGTTGCCTAGCAGCAGGAAATTAAGTAAAATTAAAAAAATTGTTATCAAGCCGGGCAGTGGTGCCGCACGCCTTTAATCCCAGCACTTGGGAGGCAGAAGCAGGCGGATTTCTGAGTTCGAGGCCAGCCTGGTCTACAGAGTGAGTTCCAGGACAGCCAGGGCTATACAGAGAAACCCTGTCTTGAAAAACCAAAAAAGAAAAAGAAAAAAAAATTGTTATCACTAGACTTCTCTGTCCAGGCAGCCAGAAGTCTCTTTGGCTAGGCTGGTTAACACTTTTTGAACCAGGGAGGAAGGAAAGGAAAAGAATTAAGATGCTTTATATAGGGAAATATACACAGACAATACATTTACATGTTCACTCTCATTCTCATTTACACATTAACACATTCACATATTCGTTGGGCCCAACCACCTGTCTCATACATTCCATAAGTATTCACACATTCTCACATACACACATACACCTACACATGTACATATAGACAACCAGACATATATATTTGGTTGGATGGATGGATGGATGGATGGGTGGGTGTGGTTGAGTCCCCCAAGCCAAACTTTCCAACCAAAAATTTTATTTCGTTTCTCTGGCCTACTTACATCTTCTTAGACAAAAAATTATTTATAAAATTACCTCATAGATAAAATGTTACATAAAATGGGAGTTACCGAAGTATGTGGGTATTAAGTTCAAAGCAGTGTTTGATTCGATATGCTTGTTACAACCTAAAAGAAATAGGTTTTACATGGCCTTGACTTATTATAATACACACCTGTAGCTTCATCCTTAGACCTGAATGTTTTTCCTTGAACACAAATTTGTCCCAAGCCTATTTCTCTTGTTAATGTAACAATGCCATTGAGCTCACCCTTCTCAGACAATGCAAAAATTGTGGGCCACCTTAAAGAAAGCTACCTGCCACCTTAATCTATCCTAGATGATTCTTGAGAACTCATAACAAGAGTTATTGGTTCTTTCCTTCAGAGATTGTGGAACCCTAGAGAAGAGGAATAGAAGAGATTGTAGGAGTGAAAATGGAGGAAGATAGCAGAAAAATATGGCCCACTAAATTAAGCAAGGCTCACATAACCTCACAGAACTGAAACAAATCTAGAGTTTACATACATTGTGGCTACAGAGAGATGAACATGCCTGCCAGAGACAATCAGAAATATTAAACACTTAGGAACAATTGTCCTCAGCAATAACAAACTGTGAGGTATTTCAGGTTGCATGGAAGAAATGACAAATGTGATTTGTCAACTTTAGAGACAATGTCCTCCCAATGACAACACAGATGGAGAGAGGGAACAGAAGTTATTTGAGCCACCACCAACAAAGAGGCACAACATTTTGTGAGTCTCCTTGGATTCTGGAGATAACACATTTCTCACTTGGATGTGTTACATGAGCCCACTTACCAAGAGACTCAGAAAGCTGCTAACTTTATGTGGGCCCTGAAACAAGGGAAGTCTCTTCAACAGGTTCAGACTGCTTTGTAGGCTGCTTTACCTTTTGAACCATATGATCCTGCAAACCTAATGATACTTGAGGTGTCATTGGCAGATAGAGATGCTGCTTGGAGCCTCTGACAGGCCAATGTGGGTAAATCACAAATACAACCTTTGATATTTTGGTGCAAAATTTAATCATTGTCTGCAGACAACTACTCACCTATTGAAAAACAATTCTTGGCCTGCCATTAGACCATAATGGAAAGTTATCATGTGAGCTGAACTGATCGTCATGAACTGTTTCTGGGCCTACCAAATCATAAAGTAGAACACGCATAACAGTAGTCTATTGTCAAAGGGAAACAGTATATATGCCATCAGACCCAAGCTAGTCCTGAAGGTACAAGCAAGTTA